CTTCCTCACTATCAAAATACCAGGCCAGAGAAAAAGACATCACATTGCCCAAAGTTTATGCGAAAGCGCAGTTTGGGTTCTTGTTACTTCTATCTGAGTCAACCCAGGAGTGTGGGGAAAGGAAAGTCAAACAGTGAGGGGAATGGAAAGTTCTCCTTTTTATTTAGGGCCCTCCCTCCTTGGCCTTGAGTTCATGGTGTAATGATAGGGGCAGCACAGAGCCCACCAGCCGACCTCTGAGCGCGGTGCATGCCACATCCTGCACCTGGTGCTCCGAACGCATGAACTCGTATGGTTCCCACGATAACTGTGTTTGGTGTTATTAATCCTGTTTTACAAGAAAAGAAACAGATCCACAGTGTTTGACTAAAATGACTTAGGGCCACAGAGAACAGATTTCATAGGAAACTAATAAAGTTCAGTTTTATGACCCAGGTGATGTGCTCAGGGCTTGCCCGACGGGGACGGACAGTTGGGCCTCAGGACCAAGGCCAGGGCACCGGGGCCAGCACGCTGCTGAGAACATCTGGGTAATTTATTGAGACAGTGGCTACGTAATAGCTGGGATGCAAGTTATTTCCCAAGTTTCTAGGTAGTCGAACACCTACTTTATTTAAAGCTTTCTCTGAATTGTGTTTTTTTAAAAAGGTTTCAAATAAATGACCAAGGTTCTGGCATACTGCAGTGAGCTAGTGGGTAAAGTGCAAAAATCGGAATTGTTGGAAGAGTCGACTCAAGTTAACAAATGTAGAAGAGTAAAGGGAAGATCTGTAGTCAAAAGGCCGGGAGTGACACGGCTTTGGAGCGATTCAGTTTCAAATCCTGGTGCTCCCTTTTATTGGGTCTCACCCGCTGTAAAGTGGGAGAAATGATAATGTCCACTTTCAAAGTTTCAGGGGGAAGAAGACTTTTTAAGGCTTGCAAAGAGCATCGCCCTGTCATTAGGTCCGAAAGCAAGGCGCTCTTCAGGGCAGACGCTGGTCTGCTTCCCCACGGCCGCACGGCCCCGCAGCCCCCCACTTTCCACGGAGTCCCCCCTGCAGGAGGGCCGAAGCTCAGCCGCCACACACCTCTGGGGAGCCCCTTCGCCCGGAGCGGGGAGACCGCCCTGCCTCCCGAGGATAGGCAGGCTCTGGACAGACTGCATCCGTGGAAGCCCCACAGCCCCCAGAGGCCGGGAGTTCCCAGTAATGTAAGCGCAGCCCCTCTGGCCATGCCCCAGGGACGGGATAACATCTCTCCGACCCTCTAACAGCTTTGAAAACGGAAAGTTTCCTTACTGCCCTCTAATTTGATAAAACCTGCACAAGTGCAATGACCGTGTTGCTTTTAAAATAAAGCAACTCTTGCCTGGCTGGCGTGGCTCAGCGGTTACCTACGAACCAGGAGGTCACGGCTTGATTCCTGGTCAGGGCACATACCGAGGTTGTGGGCTTGATTCCCCAGTGTGGGGCCTGCAGGAGGCAGCCGACTGGTGATTCTGTCTCATCACCGATGTTTGTGTGTGTGCGTGTGCGTGTGCGTGTGTGTGTTGGGGTGGCGGGAATCATACACTCAAAAGATACATCTGCTCTCCAGGAGAACAAAGCCATGTCCCTCCTGGCATTTACCATAGACACTTCTTTCTTCAGCTCATCCATATCCCTCTCTTTCTTGGCCTTTTTCTTGTTGCCATGCTCGGAAACGGCCGCAGGCTCATATTTGTCACGTCCAACCTACAGGAGAAGGCGGAAAGATGTGGTTAGTTGTGAAGATTGGAGCCGTTTTTAGAGAGCCATCATTTTGAATAGTCACTGGGCTGATCCTCATGGAAACCGATGCGCTTTGCCGCACACCCAGCAAGGCAATCTATTACTAACGACGCCTCACAAGCTCAGGGCGCGAGGACCCCGAGGGGAGGTCGCGGCAGGCCTCAGGTGGCCCTGCAGTCACTTCCAGGTGAGGCGTGAGCTACCACTGACCAGCTGGGTATCCTTGGGCCGGTCGCTACCGCTTACATCTCCGTGTTTTTCTTCTGTGGCATGGAGATAACAATAGTGCTTCCCTCATTTAGTGTTTTGGAGAGGACTAAATGATAGAATACATCTGGGTACTTAGTTACTTTCAGTTAAACTCCTGGTTTTGCGAAGAAGTCATTAAGTATCAAATTTAAATAATTTGGGGGCCCCCTAAGAATGCTGCCCTTCCCATCTTCACGGGGAAAGTCAGCCTCAAGAGTCCTTTAAAACGCGTCAAACAAAAGCGCAAAATCAAGGGGTCCCCACCCCAACCTGCAGCCTGGGGAGAAACCACCCCAACAAAAGTTGCTGGAGATGTTTTGACATGAGCAGGATGTGGGAAAGCATGTGCTTTATCAGGGAACTCACAGGGTCCACCCACGCCTCTTGAAAAGTGGAACAATTTCTAGGGAAATGTCGATTCCCCTAGTTTAAATTTAGCTTGTTGCACACTCCCACCCCCCTGTGTGAAACGCGTGCACTGATCTCCACACAGCCTGGACCACAGCCCCTCGCTCTAGGCAGGCCCCGTCCCCCACGACCTACCACCTAAGACAGGCCAAGAAAGGAGGCATCAGCGATGTTCTTAAAGTGGACGCTCTCTGGTGCCAGTACTATTATTTCGAACGTTCAGAGGCACATGCCCAGCTACTAAAACAAGGAGGAGGAACCTGAGTCCAGATTAAAATTTTATCGTGCTGAAAATAAAAAGAACAAAAACAAAAGAATGCCAGCGAACAGGTACGTTTCAGTCATGGCTGACATGGTCACAAGTAAATACAATACTCGCCTGAAGGGAGTACCCCCTGCATTCTCTACAGGGGGGCCCCGCCCCCAATGAGCCGGGCGTGCCCACATGCGGGGACATGTACGGCAGTGTCCCTCGACCCACAGCTCCTTCCAGCAGAGCGCAGCTCTATAGTTTCCGCCTTATCTGTTGAGCATGAAGCAGGTCTAAAGATAGCCAGCATTCCTCACATTCCCTCCGCTGTGGAGCAACCACACAGGCTAGTCCTCTGTGCACACAGCCCCCGGTGCCAGCTGAAAGCAGACAGACAGACTGACAGACAGACAGACACAAAGGACAGGGCTCCCCATCGGAGGGGCCGCCCATCTACAGCGGCCTCTCCTCCTTAGACTTAATGGGAAAGCACAAGCCTGAAGAAGCACCTGACAGCCACTGCCCAGGGAGCCCGAGGACGCGTGTGGCCAGTTTGTCGATCTTTAAAACACGGCTCATTAGAGCCTCTTTGAGCAAGCGGGGTGCCGCTGAAATACGTTTAATTTAAATGTATGAAAATCAGAGTTGAAATCGCTCTCCTCACGAGGGAGGCTTGGGTTCTTGCGGACTTTCAATATTTTCCACCCCGAAAGAGGGGGGAGAATGCTGGAGCAGCTGGGCCTTGGACATGGTCCAAAGTTTTATCCCCATTTTTTTTACAAAATAGAAATCTTGCCTGCAGCCTCAGGTATCAATGCTAAGCTGAGAATGGAGATCCCCTAGTAGCCCACCCCTTCATCAGCCCTGCTATACCAGGCATCCTTTTAACTGAGGACAGCAGTGAGAGACACAGGAAGTATTAACATGTGAGGTTCCCCCCTCCCCTTGAAGATGTTACTTTTCCCCCCGCTAGGTGTGTCCAGAAGACCAGACAGTGTATACAGTTCAGTTCTTCCCAACAAGTACAACAATAGGTTAATGGCTTATCTTGATGGGAAGCACAGGACTTAAGTCCCTATCAGTCTCCATCATTACAGTTACAAAGCAGAAAAAATTGTGTGTGTGTGTGTGGTGGTGGGGGGGAGGGGGGCAGGGTGGATGGAAGGGTGGGTACATGGTGGGTCTGGGGAACAGTGCTTACAAACGGGTAAGATAACATTATCTCCTTTAAAAGCATTTTGAAGAACGAAGGTCATGGCAAGGGGAATGGATAATAGAGCTTCCCCGATGCAGGCAATGGCTTTCCCACCCCTCTAGGCACAGAGCTCCTACTTTTCCACTAGGAACGCGGCACCTCCCGCCAGGCCCCATGTGGCCTCCCTGGGCCCTGCGATCCGGAAGGGCACAGTGGAAGCTCAATGTCACACCCTTCTCTAAAGGGCCACTTGTGAAAATGAAGTTGGTTCTGTTCTGTTCATCCCCCCCCCCTCCGTTCTAATTTAGGAAGTGGGAGGTCATGACAAGGGCAGGGGCTCGCCCACTGTGACACAGCTTAAAATGTGTCATTACTTCGTCCTGCGCTTCCTTCCCAGGGATTCCATCTTCTCCACCAGTCACCGCCCTGAGGTTGCTACCGTTTGATCGTTTGATCGGGGCGGAGGGAAGGGGTGCCCAGGAGATGGGAAGCGGAGATTCTTGGCCAGAGGAGCCAAGGTTAAGACAGGTTGTAAGAAGGTTCACTCACTCTGCAGGGGCAAGGCTTCTGGGGCTCTCAACTACGTGTATCACAGAGGCTCTGGCCTCCGCCCCCACCTGTCAGCACAGTGCCCAGGGGCAGCAGGGAGCTCAGAGTTCGGCCTTTCGAAACACCAGCTGAGAAAGTCTCAAGGGTTCTTGGAAGTTGAGCTGTCCACGCCCTTTGATAATGGCTTATAAGGAAGCCCCAAGTCATTCCAACTCTGCCTACGCCAGCTACACGGCCTTGAACAGCCAGCCTCAGTTTCCTCATCCCTAAAATGGGAGCAAAACTTGGTGTAACCACTAAAGAATCTAGAGAAGGCATCCTGAGAAGGCTGATTAATCAAGGGGCTGCCATCAAATCTGAAACAAAACACCTGGGAACTGCAGCTTCCAGTACCCACAAATATTCTGGATGAGCCAGAGGGCGGGAGGAGTAACGGCCCCAAATGCAGCCCCTCCAAAGCTGACCAGGAGGGTCACAGAATCGGCACCTCTGAGTCCAATTTGGCAAATTCCGCCTTAGCAGGGAAGATGGGGGATGGTGTTTGGCCCTGCTGGCGCCCAGAGGCAGTGGTGTGGGCTACATCCCTCCTTTATGTAAAAGGTGGTGGTGGTGGTGGTTGGGGGTTCCAATCGTCCTGGGATCTGATATTAATTAATCATCAAACACAACTGTCTATGTGCGCGTACTCTGCAAAGAGCTACAAAAAATTATTATAACTTGGTTTTAATTAACAAATTATTGCTATTCCTCACTTACTATGAAAATTCCTTTTAAATCTAAAAAAAAACACCAACCACCTCATTGAGTATTTTCTTATTTCATCTCATCAATTAAAACTTACAGAAAAAGGTGGGTGGGGGGATACATGGTGATAGAAAGAGACATGACTTGGGACGGTGAACACACAATACAATATACAGATGATGTATTATAGAACTGTACACTTTAAACCCATAATTGCATTAGCCAATGTCACCCCAATAAATTCAACAGAAGAAAACAACTTACAGAACATATGAGAAATGATCACACCCCGTCCCTTAGACCTCCAATTGCTCCCAAATGACTAAATCCGTGGTTAGTTTATGTATAAGGAATTTTCTAGCCAGGTACCCGAGGAGTGCCTGGGTGGGGGAGGACCCGCACTGCCACACACTGCACCGAAGGGACGCTGCTCTCTGCAGAAGAGACCCGAGGGACACCCTGCCTCCACAGCCCCTCTATGATCGCTGGAGCAGGTCAGAGGCCACACAGTCCACACAGTGCGCGCGTCCCTGGTGAGCCCAGCCCAGTTCCTCCAACCCTGGGCTGCAGCCCACCAGCCAACAGCGGACAAAGGAAACAGCCCTGGCCCTGGCCTGTGGGTTCCAGGCCACACAGTTCAAAGAGGCTGTGCCTGCCTCCCCGATCTGCCTGCATGTCCATTTCCTAAACCAGCCTGCCATAGCATGTCATCCAGGATCAAAAAGAATCTAAAACTGCTGAAGTATCAATATACTTTAGATTTACTCCCTTTCTGAAAATGTGGTTTTTTTTGTTTCCATTTAAAAAAGCAAACCCCTTTTTTTCCGTGGGGCATTCTACCTCTACCTTAGGCACCTGGGCTGCAGTTCAAACCTCCTGCCTGCTCCCCCTCCCTCCGCTGCCCTCCGTACCCCTTTTCACTCTGCCAGACCACTCCTGGGCCAGGGCTACTCAACAGGAGTGTGGGTTTGAGAGAGAGCTGGCACCAGTGCTCCAAGTGGCCCGAATCCACTCCCAAGAAGCCCTGACCACTCCTCACTGGTGCCCTGCAGGCGGGGCAGGAAGTGAATTAGCTGCCAGGCTCAAGAAGAGAAAAGGCAGCAAGGCCCTGGGGACATGTCATGTGAGCTGAAACAATGAAACAAGTACGGTGCCATGGAAGCATCGGGGGATAAAAGAAAATCACAATGTAGCCCCCTGCCCTCACCAAGATCACAGGCTGGACAGATACATCCGATGCCGAGACTCCCAGGCCCGAGACCTGACATTCTGATGAGCGGGGCCCCCAATACAAGTCCCAGAGACAAAGCATGACGACCAAGGGCCAACGTTTCAGACCCCCAACAGAAAGCATCTAATACCTGTCACTAAACGGGGTTTGAATACAATCAGACACAGAGATAATGAACGTTCAGATATAATTCATTGTCAAGTCACAAAGGAACTAAGGAATGAGGTCTATTGGCTAGAATTCCCTTGGCTCAGGATCCAAATGAAACCAGAGAAAAAACGGGGGGGTGGGGGTGGGGGGGCCGGGCGCAGGCAGCTCTGTTCTGACAGAATTTGCTCTTCCCAACACCAGCCACATA